TTCCTTCCTTCCTTCCTTCCTTCCTTCCTTCCTTCCTTCCTTCCTTCCTTCCTTCCACACAAAAGGCCCCCTTTCTCTTTTTTGTCATTATTTATGCATTTATTAATATAAGGTACTTTATATCCCACACACTGAGCTTAAAAAACAACAACACCTCACTAGGCCTATAACAATAGAATAAAACTACGTTATCAAGATCCAGCAACATAACAGCTGCAGCTCAGTGAAAAGGGCCTTGTTCTGTCTCTCTCCGGCTTCTGTAGGATGACTGGCTTGTGATGCTGGTGATGGTGTTGGGGAAATGGGTAACCATTGACCAGGCAAGCTGATGGAGGAGGCTTGTTCATGTTTCTGGATTATTGCAGAGCAAAGTACTGTTAAAGGAATGGCCACAGGGGCCAGTTTGGGGTTGCCAATACTTCTCTAGGATGACTGGCTTGTGATGCTGGTGGTGGTGTTGGGGAAAGGGGTAACCATTGACCAGGCAAGCTGATGGAGGAGGCTTTTTCATGTTTCTGGATTACTGCAGAGCAAAGTACTGTTACAGGAATGTCCACAAGGGCCAGTTTGGGGTTGCCAATTCTTGTCTAGAAAGTTCCTGGAGATCTGGGGGCTGTGCGTGGGAACTTGGAAGGGTGGAGTTTGGGGAAGGGAGGGAGCTCAGCAAGGATGTGATGCCACACAGTCAGCCTTCTGAAGCTGCCGTTTCCTCTCTTTAGTTGTGAGATCGGGTTGCCATTTGCCTGGTGGGGGCAGGGGATTCCCTGACTTTCTGGGCTTTTGTCTGCCACCGGCCAGCTGGCCAGCAGGACGGAATTGCCCTCAAATATCGACATTGCATGCAACGTGCCTTCATCACCTGAAAGTGACACTGGCACATCGGCAATGTTGGGGGGGGGACACTCTGGCTTTTGGGCAAAACTCTATGGTTTGATGCCAATTTTACCGTAGGGTTTTGCACAAAATCCAGAGCATTGCCCCTGACATCGCCAATGTGCCAATGTCACTTCCAGGTGACGCAGGCACATCACATGCAATGCCACTGGTTTTTGGGGGGTGATGGGGGGGTGATGTCACTTCCCACTCCTGAAATGTCCCCCCCCGTCTCCCCAGACATTGGGCAAAAAGGACCTGGCATCCCTATTGTGACATCAATTGTAATTCTGCAAGCACTTTAGCAACTCTAGGCTAGTTCAGAGCTTAGCAACCTCAAGTGCAATTCAAGATGTTCACCCCAGGTCCTTACATTTTGCTCTTGTATTATGCTGCCTGAGAGCTGCATGTCAGCATCATCTGTGGGGTCATGAAGGATTCTCTGGTTGCATCTCTCTGATCTCACGCTGTATTACTCACTAGGAATAAGGCCCGTTGTGGAAATAAATACAACAAGCTCTAGAAAGAGGCCCTGAGCAGGCAAGGCCCCTGGCCTTGGGCACTCAGCATCAATTTGCTGTGGTGACCTCAACAGGGTATAATGACACAGAGTCCACCATTTTCTCCAGGAGAACTGATCTCTGCCACCCAAAGAGCAATTGTAATTCTGAGTGATCTCCAGCCCTCACCTGAAGATTGGCAACAATGGTACTCCAGGAAGAAATGGCTGGTTTGGAGGGTGGAGTCTATGGCATTGTACCTGTCTGAGGTCTGACTCCTCCTCAAACCCTACCCTCTCCAGGCTCCACCCCTCAAATCTCCAGGAATTTCACAACCAGGAGGTGGCAACCCTATTTCCTTCACAACCAACCATCAACCTACCGTTATCTGCCGCTCTGACTTCAGTTTTCCATCTCTTCCCCCCTTCCTCCTGGAGAGCAGTTGTAATTTTGAGAGATCACCAACCTTCACCTGGAGATTGGCAGCAATGGTTCCCCAGGAGGAAATGGCTGGTTTGGAGGGTGGAGTCTATGGCATTGTACATGTCTGAGGTACCACCGCTTCTCAAACCTCACCCTCTCCAGTTTCCACCCTTCACATCCCCAAGAATTTCCCAACCTGGAGTTGGCAACCCTATCTCATTCCCAGCCAACCATTAACCTACCTTTATTTGCCCCTCTGACTTCAGCTTTCCATCTTCCCCCCACCTGCATCCTCTAGTCTGCTCTGAAGCCCTGACTGCTAATCACACTGGCTGTCGGGGGGGGGGCATCTCATCAGGGTATAATGACACAGAATCCATCATTTTCTCCAGGGGAACTGATGTCTGCCATCTGGAGAGCAGTTGTAATTCTGAGTGATCTCCAGTGCTCACCTGGAGATTGGCAACTATGGTTCCCCAGGAGGAAAAGTTCCCCGGGGGCACTCAAGGAAGCGATGGTCCACCCTCTCTTAAAAAAGCCATCTCTAGACCCGGCCGAATTGGCCAACTATCGACCGGTGTCTAATTTGCCCTTTTGGGGCAAATTGATAGAGAGA